ACATCATACAGAAACCTTCTAAACACCTCTCGCCTTCCCTGGAAAAAAGTCTCGTAAAACACTTGCGTTGGGACACTGATAATAAAGCTTCTGGGTCATTCTACCATCCCTCCCTACATCCCCTTATGTAAGAAAATCACTTGAAGGGGAGATCTTGGGAGAGGGTCTTCATCCCGTCAACACGTCCCCCTTCATCTTCCCCCTTCTATTTACACCCCTAATTTGACCCCATTCCTCGCCTCCCATGAGCCTGACAGCTCCCCCAGGACTTCAAGCACGATCTTCCAGTCAGCAACAAGGTCTTACTTTTGCGTGCACGGTTCCCATTTTGATGTTTCATGCGTTTTTTGCCCCACTTGTCCTCCTCCTCTTGTTGTTTTCCTCGCCTCCCCGGCCCGGCCACTCGACACCGTTGCCAATGCCGTGGTGGCGGGGGACCCTTCGAGCACTGTCTTCTTTTTCTCGCTTTTGTCTGTATTTTTTGGTATATTTTGCCTTTATTTCCCTTTTGATATTATTATGATTGGATTCTTTAGGTGTGGTTGTCTCTGCATGTGTCAATTTTGTTTGCTTTTTATTATGTTTATGGGTTTGTGTTTGTCCTCCCAAGCTGGCAACGATTGTTATTATAATTCGAGAGAAAATTGTATGCATTCGGGGTATATTTCGTAATTACACCCCCCATGGCTTTTTAATTCTATCAGCCTCTATAATAATCTTTATAAATAAAGTTATATACTTATGTAAACGACTGACAGGAGATTTATGGAGATTGTGTTTGGGCATTTCTGGGCGTGGCGGGCTGTTCAATTAATGCTGTCAACACCCACGCAATTAACGCCACACAGTCCTTCATGTCCAGATACGTGGTGGTGTGCATGCAAGCGAATATTTTGTGTATAAGAAATATATGCGTATACACACTCCCCCATGCACGCGCGCGCGCGCGCGCGCGTGTGTGTGTGTGTGTGTGTGTGTGTGTGTGTGTGTGTGTGTGTGTGTGTGTGTGTGTGTGTGTGTGTGTGTGTGTGTGTGTGTGTGTGTGTGTGTGTGTGTGTGTGTGTGTGTGTGTGTGTGTGTGTGTGTGTGTGTGTGTGTGTGTGTGTGTTCTTACCCAGGTGTTTCAGCACTATAGAAGAGCTAAACTCAGGGAGTCCCATCTGCTATATCTAAATCATCATTTAGCTATTTTTAATTGGTGCACAATTTTGGCACATGAAACGTTATTATGAGACAGTCCTCTCGTTCCGTCTTGTGTTCCAAAAGGCCTTAACTAACGTCTCTCTTCCTGGTTTGTACTGCAATATCATTGTTAGTTCTCAAATGTGAATTCTCTAAATGCGTGTTTCCACTAGTATCATTTGTATTTCAAAATTGCGTAAAGGGCGGTTTCTATATTATCATAATTACATTATCACCATCATCATTATTGCTATTATTATTATCATTACTACTCTTACTCCTACTTCTAATATTACTGTCGTAACTTTTATTATCATCATTATCATATTTATCATTACTATTGTTTTTATTGTTTTTTTATCATTATTGTTATTACTGTTATTATCATCATTATCATGAATTATTGTTATCATCATTATTATCAATTATTGTTATTATCATTATCATCAGTTATTATTGTTATCATTATTATCAATTATTGTTGTTATTATCAGCACTATTGATATCATCAGTATTAATATCATTATAATTATTATAATTGTTTTGTTATCATGATTATTTTCATTATTTCACTGCTATTGTTATTGTTACTGTTATTATTATTGTTATTATCATTATCATTATTATTGATATTTATAATCACTATTATTCTTTTATCATCATCGTTCTTATGATCATTAGCATCACTGTTATCATCATCTTCATTAATATTGCCATAAATATAGTCATTATTATTGTTGTTACTATTATTATCATTATCATCATCATTATTTTCCTCTGTTAAATTGCACTTGTAAAAGCTGCAATTCCCAAGGGATCCTGCCAGCTCATCTACACAGCAGATTTTGATCAATATCATCCAGTAAACAAAATGGGCGGACATGGAGATTTGGTCCGGATGAGTCATTAATAATAGGGGAAAATGGGAAGCAAAATGTGGTGTAAGAGCTGTTCTTGGAGAAGAATTTATCTTATATCAAGCATTGGAAAGCCTGAGTCTTGAAAGGGATGATCAGCTACGGAGTAGAAATGCTTTCACTTTTTATCAACATGAATATATGGGGAATGCCAACGGCCGAGTGACGTCCTGTGCACAGCCTAGTTATGGTGGTCCTTGGGTCTTTACAGTGGTAACACTTTAAATAACCTAATGGTGACCATTTGCCCTTCCCTTCCAGTGGCCTATATTCAGTCGTTTCATCCATTCTGCCTTTTTAAGTCAGCTTTTTTCCAATGGTGCCTCTATGACTCTTTCTAATGATACTATCAAGTCTTTTCAATGGTGCCCCTTCGGCTCTCCCAGTAGTGCCCCTCAATCCTTCCAATGGATTCCCCTGCCTTTCCAACAGTGCCCCCCTCCCCCTCCGACCCCTTCCAATGACGTCCCTAGACATTTCCTCATATCTCACATGCCAGTTGACTTCATGAGACACATAGGACTGTAGTTGGTTGACGACTAAAGCACAAACAATCGTTCTCAGTTCCTTTATATGAATATGAAATTCCTTAAAATTTGACGGCTATAACTATTCAACCGTTACGCCTTAGGATAATTTCTCTTGGTGCCTTAAGCAAGCGTTTTTATTGTTTAATGATTAACCCAATAGTGGATAGCCATTGCTCTTGATAAATGTCTGGCTGTCCATCTCTGCCTTCTTGCAACAAGAGGATCCTACAGCGATATATATATATATATATATATATATATATATATATATATATATATATATATGTATATATATATATATATATATATATATATATATATATATATATATATATATATATACCACAGTCTTGTATTAAAGCACGTGAATTAATTTCCTTTCTTCAAAAGTACCTAGCAATAATAAAAACATTTTCTAATGTTGTCAATGAATATATCATAACTGAATGTATGTTGAAATACTATATAACTAATCAATGTTTCGACCTATTTTTCTTTCTTTTCTGTCAGGACAGCTCTAACGTTCAACCTTTGACTTTGACTTTCAGAGGAATTTATAGCTTCAGGAGAGCCCGATGGATTTCTTCACGTCTCTGAGAAATTATACATATCCAAGAAGCGGACCAAAATTGTAGAGTTAACTTCTCTTCAATCGATACATACAGTTAAAACTTTCATTCCTAGTCCATACATTCCGCTTAAATTATGCAGTAAACCGGAGAAAAAAATACTCTTCCGTATTCAAAGGATCAAAAGCTTATTTTCTTTGGGAGAAAGGAGTGTATGTAGTGGGCCTCTGTGCTCTCTATATAATTAATAGCAAAACTCTCTTTCTTTAATATGAATAGTATCTGTATTTTTCGTTTAAATATTTACTATATAGGAAATTATATGTATTAATCATATATTACAAGTTGGAAGATAATGGAGCGATTTTCTTTCATAACTGACTAATGAACTGTAATGATACTAATAGTTTTCAATGTAAACTTTGGAGAACACTATTTTCCAAAATGTTCACAATTTTATTTATCTAATATTAATATAAAATTTAATTTAATTTAATGTAAATATAAAATTTAATTTAGTTTAATGTAAATATAAAATTTAATTTCATTTCATTTAGTATAAAATTTAATTTAATTTGATATAAATATAAAATTTAATTTAATCTAATATTTATATAAAATTTAATTTAATATTAATATAAAATTTATTTAATATTAAAGCTTTGCGTGTTTGACCTATTCCCTGTTAGTTATGCGGTATATATGTTCATCAGTTGAGCTGCTCCCATCTTTTTTTTCTTAAGAGGTTTTTATATTAAAATCTAAAGATATTCATTAACTGCTCTTCAGTTACAATGATGATTTTACACACAACCATCAGTACTATGGCAAGATAGTCCCAGTGTTAGAAATACATGAATATAACAAATATTAGAACAGTGCATGGTAAATAGAACAATTTGGATAAACACCTGATTGCAGCAACAGGTTGGTGATTAAATGAAAATATTTACGCAAACGATAATCGCTGATAAGGGGTTTTACAATGCTGAGCGAATGTCTTCATGACTGAACAATTGTAATATGACAGTCGCGAAAATATGGGAAAATCTCATCCGCTCTTAATTAGTCATGTAGAACATGCATGCACCCTGTGGGTTTCTTCCTTGAGCAATGACAGTCTCGAGGGAAGATTAGGCAGCGCATGGCAAGGTAGGATAGGTTGACCTTGTATAGAAAGGTCAGAGGTAAGAGTCCTGTACAGCTGTTCCTAAGTAAAGATACTGGCACAATGTTATCATGAGAGATGTGGCACTGCAACTGGTTGAACTGCCTTGGCATGGCTGTCTGGCACTGAAATGGACACCTATAAAGTGTTCTTGTCTAGAGATGATTATCGAGCAACTGCAACCACATCAATGGCGCATCGAAACCAAGAGAAGGAAAGGGATGGAATGAGAGATAGTTTCAGCGACTGTCATTTTCTATTAAATTAATATATACCTTTGAATCATTAGTTATTACGCATTGATGACAATACTCCTTGAGGTCAACGTATTGTACAGATACAGACGTAGCAAGAAGGGCGAAGGTAGACAACGCACAATGTACCAAGAAATAGAATCGCACAGAATTCACAAATATACAGCTCACATTTTATAGAATATAATCTATAAAAATAGGAATACTGTCTAAAATCCCTCCACAATAAAACAGCATAGTGTCGCAAATCCCCGCACCGGAGACTAAGCGACCAGCACCTTGTAAACATGTCCTTCAGTTCGTTGTGGGAAAATGACAGTGAGTTTTTTTTTCGCCGATTTTTTACCCACCAGGGATCCTCTCCGTTGGATTAGAGTTTAAGGAAGTCTTGTTCATGGTTCAGGGAACGTGTAGGAAATTTTGACTTTAGAGTCTGAGATTGGTGAATGCAGGAAATAGTGGGTTTCTTTTCATTGATGTTTTGATCTGCTTTTTTGGGGGAGTGAAATGTAATGACGAGGTGGGGTTGTTTGGTTGTTTGTTTGTGTGTGGTGATTAGTGGTGGAGTCTTGATGGGGGAGACTTGTTTATTAATCATCTTTTGAACTGTAAGTTATACATGTAAAAAATAAATGTGAAATAGTTTATCAATTAATGGATTTGCTGTTGGTCATGAATGTTCCATATTGATTTATAGAGTATAGCAAGTTTTGGACATTTAAAAAATTATTTTCATGTTGCATTTTAGTTAGAGGGTTGGGTTGAAAAACATTGCATTCATGTCTGAAGGAGCTGTATGCTTCCTATAAGAATACTGAAAATGTAATAATCAGGAACATGTATAGGATAGCAAACACATACTCAGTTTAATACGTGTATGGACAGGCCTTTGAAGAAGACTCGGAAGTAAAAGGTAAACCAGTAGAAATATATCTGGAGCTGTTTTTCACTTTTCATCAAACATTGCATGCCGTCATAGCTGTATCTCAAAAACAAGGAGTAAGCTATTTATCATGGTTGTGTTTTCATTGAATGAAGGCATCCTTGCGAAATAGAACTTTCACATCAGGTCAACCTAAAACTAACCAAGGAGATCTTCTCTTGTGATCATGTGGGTCTGAATAACCTAATCATACCTAACCATAACCAGGCTGTCGCAAAGCTAACTCATGTTGATCGACTTTACTAATACTATAGTAGTTTGGTTGACTTTATCCGAACATTAAGCATTCATTGGTGTATCGGAATTCCTGAATGTGTAGTAGATATATATAGTACTTGTTTGTATAGTAACTATTAGTGCTTACATCTCAGAACTTATAAAGAATTAGGATATACCTCAGTCCTTGTGATGCATTGCAGTATAGATCACAAAAGTGTCAGTGCACAGGATCAGCTCCTTTCTGAAAACATGGGAAACAGTCTGTGTATTTGGAAGGCTTGGGAATCTGTAGATATTTTTTCTGTGATTATTAATCTGAGTTTAAACAAGGTATGATGCAGAGTGTAAACTAAAGATGTTATTATAAGAGGATCATATGTGACTTCCTTGTTCCTTTGATGTTGATAAAGTAAATGACAACTGCCTTTGTTTAATAGAAGTAAAAGCACTATATGCCTAATTTGAAAATGATCCTAGTTTGCCTTTTCATTAAAGTAAACAAAGAAAATACAATTAATGTTAGCCAATCACAAGGTTGGATAATAGCCAATAAAAATGTGACGTTAAAAGCTATGGGAATGAGTACAGCCCTGTTTAACAGTCATGAGACTAAATTAATCCATTGGATCTGGATGCTTCACTGCCATCATGTGGCCCAAAATACGGGCATGAGGCTTACTTGAGCGGCCACTATTATGGATATGCCAGGGTGCATTCTGTGTAAAACTCACGCCAGAGGTAAGCCAATGTTCCCAATGAGAGTAATTTTTCATAATGTATGATGCCAAGTTATAGCCAAGTAGATTGTTGATGGCAGCACACACTTTTTAATAAGAATCGTGAATTTTTTCCCCAGCCTCGTGATTCTTAAAAATTTGGGATTTTAAGCTTCAGATGTTTGTTAATAAACAGCCGCAAGGAGTGTAGAGGGGGATGCGTTGTAAAGGAATAAAACAAACAACTATGTATAAGTGCGTTGTGATCAACTTAAAAGCTTGAAAAAGCAGTAAAGATAAAAAAACATGCGCCAGGATTTTTCCATTTCATTACGCCAATATGCCAAGGAATATAATTTAGGCTAAATCCACGCTGCCACGCCGAGAGGAAAGCTAACTCCACGCCGGAGATCTTTGGGCCTAAGTGCATGAAATGCACCCAGGTGAATATGTGGCTTGTAGGCTGGGCACACACAAACACTCCTACAGTGATGAGACTGTGCCTCCCCTTTGCAAGTTTCTCTTATTTTGCATCAGTATTTTTAGTATTTTTGCCCTTTTCCAATGTCTTTATTTATCATTTGATTTGCTTGATCTAGATGGTGATAAACTGTTTTTCTTGCACAGTCTCTATATCATCTCTTTAGATACAGTATGATAGCAATAACTTACATCTTGTTGTTTGTGTTATTTATTTATTTATTTTTTTTATGATATTGAAATTTCTGTAATACAACCACACCACCAGTCACATCGGCCAGGAATAGGATCCTGAGCATGGAAATAGCATCCCCTCTGGAGCTGCCACTCTTCTAGTCATGGCTCATGGACACTACATTCCACATGTATATTGAAGGAAATAATGCAAGAGCCCCTTCCCAAATGCCAAATGAGTCTAATCACCCTCCAAAAGCTTTGTGCACTAATAGAGAGTCATTCCTGTCACCTGAGCCTTCAGCAGAAAAGCTCACGGTGGCTAATTCGCATCAACCCGGCCCACAAACAAATTTTCCCTTGAGACTATGTTCTTGTCACCTGCACCTCAAGCCAAATTTTTTCATGACATGGTCATGTCATCCGAATCATAAGAGTTAGATATCCACATTCAATACAACATTGTTTTTCCAATTGAATATAGATATCTTAAGAAATATAAACCCATGGCTTGTAGGACTGGCACACACATAAACTCTGTGCCTCCCCTTTGCAGTATTATTTTCTCTTTTTCTACATAAGTGCTCTTAGCTTTTTTGCCATTTTCCAATGTCTACATTTGTCATTTCATTTGCAATATCCATATGGTAATAGACTGTTATCCTTGCACAGACTCCATATCATCTCTCTAGGTAGTCCATAACTCAGTGAAATAATAACAACAGCAAGTAATATTGTTGTTTTTGTCTTTTTTACTTCAATTTTCTGTAATATAACCTGTGCTGCCAGCATGGTGAACAGGTACTGGATCAATCAATCAGTAGAGCTGATGCCAACAGGGACAGATAGCTGCATCCAATTGCACCCCATGATCTGTTGCAAGGTGTTGTAAAAGTCATCAAGATGCAGCTCCAAGGCACACGATAGTATCTAGGTTTCACTTCCATAAAGCAAAACTGGCAGTATCAGGGCCTTGAAGACACTTAACTTGGTCCTACTGCACAGGTAGTCCAAGTGCTCTTGTTGATTGAGTTTATGGCACTTGCTGCCAGGCCAATCTGTCTATGCAGTTACTGGTGTGACAGCCCAGAGTTATGGACTATACACTACCAAAGTATGTAAAGCTCTAAGTGACCTTGATGTCCTTGCCACGGGCATGCATCAACTGATAGGGTTCTCCTAACAGGCCCCCAAATCCTGGATCATGGTTTTGGTCTAGGAGACTTTAGACCCAAGAGCTTTGCCTCTTTGTTAATTGCATCAAGCACCGCCACCAGGGTTTCCAGGAACTTGGAAGGAATAGCAACATCATAATTAAAGTCAAGTTCGGTTACCTTGACATTGCCTAGTGTTGCTCCACAGTGACTTTGGATAGTAGCTCTTCCCGTTATCCAGTCCATGCAAGTGTTGAAAAGTGTTGGTGCGAGAATGCAGCCTTGCCTCAATACTGAATTAACAGGAGAGAAACTCAACAGGCCCCACCACACTTTTCAGAACCTGTATATAGGCTTGCCATTAATCTGATAATCCTTTTTGAAATTCCCCTAAGTCTCAGGATCTCTCAGAGGGTTTCTCAAAGCACCTTCTTGAGGGCAATGTAAGCTACAAGCAATCCAGGACCAAACTCATGACTGCATTCTATAGTGATTCAGAGTATTTGGATATGGTCTATTGTGCACTTTCTAGAAGTAAATCCAGATTGCTCTGGTCTCATTCCTTAGTAGATGGTATTAGATCCATCTTGGGAGAATGTGAGCGAGAACCTTGCTGGGTATGCTGGAGATGGCTAAGGCTACCCTCTGGTGATGGTGACCATCACTCCGGCCCTACTTGTCGTAGGTGTAACCACCCACACTGATCATGCTGCTGCAAGGTCTCCACCTCCAAGAGGTGCTATTATTATTATTGACAGTGTTGTTATTGCAGTGTTATTAATGAAACTAATAGCAATATAAGACAAAATATTTCCAAAAATCAAGGAAAACAGTAAACAGTGAGATAGGTCATACTAGTAGTTGACTCATTGGTGAGTAAGCATTTGTTTATAAACTAAACAGTATTTAGTTATCTTGGTAACATTCTGACCCATGTCTAACATATTTCACATAACTCAGGTAAGCTTAACCCTCTGTGGTGGGATGGCATAAAATACATGCCAGATCCACTGTGATTTTAGTTTAAATATGATGTTTACATATAAATTACTCCACAAGTACTTATATTATACCATAGTGCTGTAAGACCTTTGATGTCTAGCATATTTATTTGTTGAAAACATTAGATATTCCACAAGAACCTAATCACCAAAGAGTCAATTACTAATACTAGCTATCCAATCTGGCTACTCTTTTTCTTGATTTTTATTTATTAGTTGATACCTCATATGTATCATTCCAAGCTAGCTTTAATAAATGCTAAATAATGCCACACTTGTTGGTAATAACACTTTGCATAAAAAAATACACCAAACCATAATTGGTTTTAACAAATTTGTATATTTGAAAAGATAAAAAGAGTGTTTTATCCAAGGTAATTATATAATGAAATTATTACTCTATAATAATTTCATATTTTAAAGCCCATTCCCCATAGGTGTATATACTGTCTTCTGTAACTTTTTTGGTGAATTTTGTTACACACAGATGGCTCCACAAGTGTTCAGGCACCTATGAGGTAATCAGACCTAAGTGACATTGCCTGATATCCCCATTCATTGAATTGGCAGAATCTTTTTTTTCTAATGCTATTAATATTGATATTACTATTATTATTATGATGTTATTAAAATACAAATGATAATGAAAGATAATTGACTCCTTGGTGACTAAGCATTTGTGGAGCCATCTCAGTGTAAATACAATGAAGAAACTAAAATTGCTTTTTACATGGGATGTATTTTTGCTATCTGTTGATATTAGGTCAAGAGAGACTTAATGTTTCTTGCCACGTTTCTGTTCAGAGTGAGAGAGAGAGAGAGAGAGTGTGTGTGTGTGTGTGTGTGTGTGTGTGTGTGTGAGTGAGTGAGTGAGTGAGTGAGTGAGTGAGTGAGTGAGTGAGTGAGTGAACATATTGAGCATGTGTGGGCATAAGAATGCATTGCTGTCTTAATTCTTTTAGTTTGTCATAACGTTTGGGAATAGTCAGTCAACTATGCCTTAATTGTTTAATAATTGATCTTAAATTCTACATAACTAATAGAGAAGTAATACTGAAATCATTGCTGTTCCCTCAGAAAATGTAATGCAGGCATATAGTTAGTATTTATTTATCAAAGGTGCCGGGGGTTCAGAAGTGTCCTAAAGATTCAGACTTTAAATAGATATAGTTATCTTGTGTTTTCTTCATTTTAATAGAAAATCTTAATTTTATCTTTTTCTTTTTTTACAGAAAGTGAATTACATGCAAAATGTGTCAATGTTTGAAGAGCAAAGTAAAGAAATATTGTGGAACTAAGCAATGTGAATAAGTAATATGTATACTTAATATTTAAATAAAAAATAAAAAGGAAAAAAAACAGAAAAGATTAATACAAAAAGTGTGTAAATGTGATTATCCATTTTATTTTTCCTGAATTGTGGATAGCATAGCAAATATATGGAACATACTCCAATTCACAGTGGTTATTAAAATGCTTTGCATAAGTGATCAAGGGAACCCCACAGAGGAGAGGAAAAAGTTCATGATTGACAAGAGGAGGGAGTGAGGAAGCCCATTTGATGAGACTAAAGATGTCTGGCCGCCACCTGAGTTCGGAAGACCGACGGGAACTTGCCCGCCTGACCAAGATCCTCTCCCAGAAAATAGTCCAGGTCGTCGTCCAGAGTCGGCTGGGTGAAAAGGCCATCACAAAGTCCAAGACACCTGCGCAAGGATCAGAATGGGTACAACATCGTTGCGTTCGAATTTATCTTTGTTGTCTCGTTTGTGTTAAAGTACCTGGAAGGGAAGTAGTGATGGCTTATTCTTTTGTGCCTTTCCATGTGAGGGTTTGTAAGTAGGTTGATGATTTATTTCTGAAAGATTTGATCTCTGAGCCCTCTCTTTAAGAACTCTTGTAACAGGATATGATAATATAGAAGGAGTATTGAGTTTTTTTCATTCATTAGTTATTTGATCATACTGTAGATGTAAACAGTGCATAGAGGAACTATTACTTGCTATACATGTTGTTTCCAGTCAGAGTCAAATGTTTCACTTCTTCATGATAAGAGATGAAGAATTTTAGTTCCATGTTCTTTTTGTTATCAGAATTGTATGCATTTAAGGAAGAAATAAATATCGTAGACTGATACTGTCATCACTTAGAATATTGTGTAGACTATTCTGACTGCTTAAAGTGTACATTGGAAATAAATATATATATATATATATATATATATATATATATATATATATATATATATATATATATATATATATATATATATATATATATATATATGTATGTATATGTATGTATACATATATATATATATATATATATATATATATATATATATATATATATATATATATATATATATATATATATATATATATATATATATATATATTTTTACACATACATATCCATACACATGTGTGTGTGTGTGTGTGTGTGTGTGTGTGTGTGTGTGTGTGTGTGTGTGTGTGTGTGTGTGTGTGTGTGTGTGTGTGTGTGTGTGTGTGTGTTTATAAATATATATATATACACATTTATAAATGTATTACATTTTCTTCTGTTTTTCTTCCAGTTCAATCTGGGAATAGAGGACATTCATGAAATACAGCAGGAAACAAAGCGGGGTCTTGGGGGCCACCTGCCGGATGTTGGAAAGCCGCTGGTGGTGGAAATACTCCTGCGCACCCCAGAGTCAGACAGCCTCGTGCTAGAGCTGTGGACTTTAAACATTTTAGATTCGTGTGATACCTCGCCAGCAAGAATAAATCCTACCATTTATAACAGGATGACGGTATACATATACATGCACACATTTCTTTCTTTCTTTTATGTGTGCTGCAAGTAGTATAGATGCTTTAAAGCTAGTCTTGGCGGGTTTGGAAATCATATGCAAATTATTGTTGTCATCCATGGCTATGATATTTCCCATTGTAATTTTTTATGCTTTCATTATGTTTAATAATTTTAACCTCTTTTGTTACTATTACTGTCATCTGAGAGGCTATAGTTTTCATGGTTATTATTTTTTTTATTTTGTAATCAGTATTATCATAATTGTTAAGTCTTATTTCTCTTAAAGAAATGAACAGCAGTGTTAGCTTAACATCAATTATAATTAACATTTTGATATGATAAGAGAGCTAGCAACAAAACATCTTTATTATTCTACTGTACACATATCTGATAATAATGGTTTTCAGAATTATGTTGACATTTGAAGAGTATTAGGATATAGAAGATAAAGGAAATTATATATATGGTACATTAAAGGTTGTCTATAATCCACAGGTGTTGTTGAAGTCACTTTTGGCTGTCACGCGCATTACCCCAGCCTACAAGCTATCGTTTAGGCAGGGTGCAGATTCCTTCATCATCTGCTACAGGGTCTATTTAGGAGAGCCTAATTTTGATTGTCTTGGTAAGCTTTAGTAGAACTGTTTCAGTGAAATGATGAGATGTTGGTTCGTGATATGCAGTGATACAGACAGGATATTATAATGAAGAGATGAGCTATATAGAAAAGTATATGTAAAGTGTGTTCCTCTCTCCAGGTGAAAATCCTGTTCAGGCAAGATTGGGACAGGTGACAACTCCAGAATCAACGATGATAATGTGTGTCAGTTACCGCACACAGATCACACTCAACCCCCCTAGTCGTAGTCCTGCTCATGAGACTATAATGCTCAAGAGTGATCATTTTAAACCTGAGGTTTCTCCAAGACACTGCCGACGGGGTGCAGATAGGTGTGTAAAAAACTGTTGATGGAAAATAGAAGGAGATAAAACATAAATGATTCAATATGACTGCCTGTGATTTCTGTCTTGTTAATGCTATCTTGGGCTACCCCATGCAGAGGAACTGACAGCAGTGAGGCAGCTCAGACATCTGATGAAAGCCAAGACGCAGCAAGACTTTTTACTGCTTCACCCCTTGACCAGCCATCAACACCTCGATCGAGAACAAGCAGGTAATTGGATCTCATATTTGGATTCAGGTGAAGTAAATCTGAAAGGGAGAGTAGGATAGGAATTAATCTCTTTATATGATATGCGGTTTTGATGTTCTTTGAAGACGCGATACATGATACTATCACCTTATAAAGACTTGAGAATTAATATTACCAGTTCTTCTGTCTCAGTCTAATTAATTCTTTATTGGTATTTCAGTGACAGCAGTTGCAGAGGCTACGTTCAACAGCAACAGCAACAGCAGCAACAACAACCTGAGAGGAAGGTGTCAGTAGCCTTTGTTGATGCCAAGCCAGCCAAGCCAGATGGCTTCTTCCTGCCCGATATTCCCTTTTCCAATCTACTGACATCCACCATAGAGGTCCAGCAGGATAAAAAAACAGACAAAGCAGAGGGGGTCAGTAATCCTTCAGCAGCTGTCACTCAGGAAAAAGCAGGACAGGTAATCTTATCTATCTTTCACCATGTGAGAGGGAGGGAGGAAGGGGGAGGGAGAGAGGAATGGGGAGGGAGGGAGGGAGAGAGGGAGGGGGAGGGGGCTTGTGCAAGTGGGTGTGCACCTTTGCATGCATGTGTGTGTGCCGCATGCATTATATTTTCTCGAGAATTAATCATCAGACAGATTATGTCCTTGTGAATTTCTGTTTTGTTAGTCTTTTATTATTGTAGGGGAGTAGGTAAGGAACTTTTTGCATTACAGTCATTATTATTATTGTTGTTGTTATTATTATTATTATTATTATTATTATTATTATTATTATTATTATTATTAATTTATTTTATTGTTATTATTATTACTATAACTATTATTATTATTATTATTATATTTTTTCCTGTTATTGTTATTATTATTACTATTACTATTATTATTATTATTATTATTATTATTATTATTATTATATTTTTTCCTGTTATTGTTATTATTATCAATGTTATTTTTATTATCATTACTATTTATTATTTTTAAGAATTATAATCATAAATATAATTATTATAAACAGTTATAGTGTTATTATTTTCCATTTTCAGGCTATATTTAATAATAACTTTAGTTTTATAGAATGACACAATCGCTGTTTACCTTTTCAGGAGAGAGCAGGAGCAGGAGCAGCTGCAACAGGGATTCAGACTCAGGACACTGGCGAGCGTGTCGTCATGACGGCCTCAGATGGCTCACACAAGTCCACCACTTCAGCACAACTCAGAGACGAAGCGGATTTTGTTATGGTGGAGCTGGTTAGTGGAATTTCTGTCTTTTTCTTCGTCTTGTGCTATTTGTTTTTTTGTCTCTTTTCCTTTTATCACTTTTATTATGTTGGTTCTTTTCTCTTTCATGTCTTTGGTAAATGTGTGTTCTTTCTTTCTTTTTTCCATGTCTGTCATTTCTGTTTTTTGTTTTCTCACTGCAGTCTTTATTCTATCATTTATCTTATTCATTGTATCCAGGCACAGGTGATTTAAGAGAGATACAATACCTTTACATATATTCATATTTTGCTATATTTGTTTCTGTTATGATGAGATTTATATACTATTCTTGCTGGACAAATTTATTTATTTATTCTTAATTTTCTTTACACATCGATGGCTTCACATGGTGCTCTAGTCTCCAAGTAGTCAGATATTAGGCCTGTTTGATCTCTCCTGCTTACCTTATTCCCTGAATTTCTAATAAAGAAAAAAAAAAAAATTATTATATTATAATACATTTTTATGTTTTACTAATAATACTATCATTAGTATTATTGTCAGTGATGTCAGTAAGATATAAAAGTAAGAACTTTTCTTTGTGATTATTCAAGGAATTGGAGTAAATGGGTGAGATCAGTAATTAATTCCTTAGTAACTTAGAGGTACTTGAGCCATCTGTGTTTAAACAAGGTAGATAAAACAAAGCTGTAGTGGATGTTTTGGCATCAGCAGGGTAATGGTACATGTATTTATGTACATGAAAAATATTCTTAAAATGTTTACGCTCTCATACTGAGTAGCTTCTTGGTTATATTATGATGTGAGAAATTTGTCCTGCATTCCTAGTGTATCTGTACGAACTAGATATTAGGCCATGGTTTCGAAGGATGTGTACTTTTAATATATTTTTCATATATATTTTGAATAATTGTTTTGTGTGAAGGTAACCAATTCTTTGTATTCATAGATTAACAGTCATTTGGCTCTTTGTTATTATAGTTAGTGAACATGCAAATACATGAATATATATACCCTTTTCCAGAAAACACCATTTGGTGGGACTTGCGGAACGGGAAATGACCTAGGTGCATTCTACCGAGAGTGTCGAAGTGCACCCCCACTCCGTATGTTTGCTGATACCCCAGAAGACGAAATCAGTGACCTTACTGAACAGCTCCTGAGCTTTGAGGCGAACATGGAAGAATATGATGAACTAGTAAAGTCTTTCCACTCGGATAACAGTCCAAACAGCCCTGACTGAGGTGGCACCAAACTGTAGTACTTTTAATATGTGTATTTATTATGGGATTTGCTTTTCTTCATCATGAATATAATGACTAGATCATTTTTGCAGAAGTTACATATAAGTTTGTAGCAGTATGTGGTCATCATATTAATTGTTGCAGGTTTAGCCCCATTGCCCCCTCCCCCCATAAAAGAATATATATATATAATTCCCGATGTGTGTTTGATAATGTCATAATAGTGCTGTATTATATAGAAAATCTAATAAGATTTTTTTTTTTT